TTACATATACACATCCTATATGTGTACATTTTCTCTACATATTTTGATTCACCTTTGAAGTACACAGGTACATGTCACAAAGTGTACACCACTTAGATTGTTCAATGATTTTACATGTACACATATTTAGTAAAATAATATCTTTTAGAATACAAAAAGTATAAGTTTGATGATTGAACTAGTTAATAAAAAACAAAGATTAATCATTATTAATCCAGTATGAATTTAAAATTATATGTTATTTAATAAATGTACGAAAACATTGGTTTCATTCCATATACATTACACAAAAGATATCTAAATACATTCTAAAAAGAATTAAATGAACTAAAATCAAAATCTAAAAATCTTCAAATATGAATATCACACAAAACCATATATACACCTATATGTGTACATATTCTCTATATATTTAATTCAACTTTGATGTACACATGTACTCGTCACAAGGTGTACACCACATAAATTGTGCTATAATTTTACATGTATATATATTTAGTAAAGTAATATTTTAGAATATAAAAAATATAAGTTTTGTGGTTGAATAGATAAACAAAAAATAGAGATTAATCATTGATTAATCAAGTAATCACTGATTAATCAAGTATGAATTTAGAATAGTATGTTATTTAATAAATGTATATAATGTTAAGAGTCACTTGTACTAATTTAGCTATAGAAATAATATTTTTGGAGTATTCAGTGTGTTAAATATCATCAACGTGTACATATATATTTCATTTGTCCATATGTACAACATTTTTTGATATTTGATAATTTGTTCAAGTTATGCTATTTGATAATTTTAATAATTAATTGTTAAAAAGATGTATTAAGAGGTCTTTCGTACGTAAATTTGTACATTTGCATTTGGTATTGTCTAAAATGCAAATTTGAAAGTTTTTGACTAATTTAAGAAGATTGATTTTCAAATCTCAAAGTTTTGAGAAAACAGTGGAAACAATTATAATTATAAAGACCAAAGATGCACATTAAGTAAACTTGATCTTAAAGTTCAACAATGAAAAATCTCAATCTCGAATGCAGAATCAACTTTTTTATGGTCCACTAGAGGTCACATAGAGAGGCTGAGATCATGGCCAAGACCTTTTGAGACACTAGAGAGGCTGAACGCACGAATTCGAAGCTTCCCATCAAACTTGAGACACGACAGAAGAGAAATCCATGGAGAAAAAAGAAGATTTATGGAAAAGAAAGATGACTACGGAGGTGGAGCTCGTCATGGTTGTGGATTGCGGCAGAGAGCTTGTCTATATACAGTAATTTCAGCGTGTATGGTCCGTGATGGTAATTCGTGTTTCAATCTAAATTCTCTTTCATGAGAAGACAACTTCACAAATCTTAAAAGATAAATCAAATAATAAAATCAAGAATTTAATACAAGATCTCTTTCAATAATTTTTTTTGAAGAATTAGATTTAATTTTATAAAAGATGGTTGAGAACTTAAGTGAAGAAGACGAAGAATAAAGAGATCTAAATCTATTTTGTTTTGTTTGTTAGTCAGGTTTATATTAAATAAAGTGAAAATAGAGTTTATTTCATTGTGAGACAGTTTTGAGTTTCTAATAACACTATAGAGCAGTTTATGCTCTTAGGGTAGTTTTTTGTAACTAGAAACCAATTATTATTAACTAGAGTGTCTTTATCAAACTAAAGTGGTCCTACAATTTTTCCAGATTTACAACTTTTTACTTCTTTTCCCGAGAGTGAACAAACAAAATTTAGAAATAAAAAATCTTCAAAAACTTCTGCTTCACATCTCACTTTTCAACCTCTCGATCCAAGTCATATACGCATCTCCTCTTCAGCGTGTTTCTGGGTCCTCTTGTGTGACCGCCGGTGAATCTCCGCGAGCTCGATCACAAAAATCCTTACAGTTCGTCTTATTCTTCTTCACCGTAAATCAACACATCGTGCTATTCAATTCATTTCCCTTGTGCTGTAACAGTAGCTCGTGGTGATGTGATGCTCGAAATCCCACCGTTTTTCAGTTGCACAATGAATCTGAAACATAATGGTCAAATTTCACAGAAAGCTCACTATTTTGTTTTAAATCTAATGTTGAAAATATATTTATAAATGATAAAGTTATGATCTTGAAGTGTAACCTACAATTAAAATGTAGAAGAATGGAAGATAATGAGAAAAAAAAATCAATGGCAGCCGCAAATAGTGTTGCTGAAAACCCTAAAAATCTAGGAAAGACGAAGATATAATTACTAAAATGCCACTCACTAAAAAGTTGAAACTAATGTGTACACATGTGTAATAACCTGTACACGTTTAACAAAATGCGTACCAAGCTTTCAAACAAGACATATACAAGTTCTTAGGCGTACACATGGATAATTACGTGTATGTACACTATCATATATGGTATTGTACAACTAGTAGTGATGGAAGCATACGCCCATATTTAATAGAAACAACAATCTGTATATAATAAATTCAGATTTATACAATGTCCAACAATATCTACATATGTACATATTCCACGATGTAGCTTGTACAAGAAACACAAAGTACAATATGAGCACTTAAATGTAGTGTACACATGTAGCGTACACAAGTATATTTTGAAGTTGATGTACATATGTCCGCTATAAAATAAACGTACATGTACGATATGAACATTTAAATGTTATTATTGCATCTTAATTAGTTAATCTTAGATTAGTTAAGTAGCATTTAATCAACAATCTATTTATATGTGTACAACTTTTTTTACATATATTGGTTCATTTTCGATGTACACATGTACATGTTTCAAAATGTACATGAAATAACATGTCCATTTGTCTTTAACTTCTAATTTTTTCAATTTTCTACACGTGTACACACATGTTGTTTGTTAAAATTGCTCTTACAAAGTGTACATAAAATAACATGTACAAAAAATGATCTTACATGTGGGTATCTATGCATCGGTATACACGTGAACAATATTATACAAGTGAATCATTGTACATGATAGTAAAAATTATGTGTACACAGACATCATATGGTTGTATACATTGTGAAACTTACAAATTATCCAATTAGATATAGTGTGATATTATGGTAATGTGTACACATATTTCCGTTATATCACTTCTAAGTCTAAGTACACGTCTTGAAACTTGTAGAACCAGATGATCAGTAATGTTCTGTCATGGTAAGAATGTTTCATATTGTTAATTTGGTTGTTGCAAAAATGACCTTTAATTTTTCCACAAACTTATTAATGTGCATTTCAACCTTGTTTATATGCAAATAAGCACACCCATATTTTTCCATGGGGTATGATTCATTTATTATGTATATTGTTGTAACAATATATGTATGTAATCATAGTATATGACATTATGTACACAAAATTTTACTATCCACATGTTCATTGTTCTCATGTACACCATGCAACTTGTGCAATGATTGACATGTACACATTGTACCAAATGTTTATTTTAGCTAAAACTGCAAAATATTCTCGTTTCAAAAGAAATTTTTTAACTATCCTCATATACATAAACATTAAACATGTACATCTTTCAACTTAAAGCAGTACTAGTTTACAAAGAAATATGTACACCGATTTTGGATGTACATGTGTACATGTCACAAATGTACACAAAAATAACTCACAAACTTCTTGATTGTTCATTCCAGTACATCCTCATAATTGCACGAACGATACTTGGTCTTTTGTTAGTATTTGCCTCCAATAATCTCTTTAATTTAGCCAAAAACTATGATATTTCTTTGATTTAGCCAAAACTATGATATTTTATGATTTTATGATTTTGAATGTCTTGTGTTAGTTTATTTTAATCAGTTAAGTAACATTTTAAGTGTATATATTGCATTTGTGTATTTAATTTAATGATTTTAAATATCTTGTGTTTAGGACACATCTTCACCTCTGAAGAGTATTTGGGTTAAAATTAAATGATATTAAAATTAAGGGACAGAATGTGCAAAAATATCAAAGTTAGCCATTGTTGATTTTGAGCTTTTCTGATGGTTGAAGGGTTCGTCAGAGAGGAACGGAAGTCACATCAATGATGAATCACGACAAAGAAGAAGGAATTGGAACACGACACGAAGGATTGAGACGAGTGAAAACACGACGGACCGGATTTGCCGTCTAATGTCACGAAGAAGATGAACATGGCGGCCTAGAGATCGAGTTTGCCTGAGGTTCACTGGCGGTTTCGGAGTAGGAGCAGAGCATAACGATATGAGAAAACAGAGACACCATGGTTGAAGCTTGAAATAGTGAACAAGGGAAAAGGACTAAGAAGAAAATTATATGGGATCTATTTTATTTTAGTTAGTTAGAGGTTCTTAATTAGAAGGTGACTATCTGGTTAGGAAAAGAAGAAGAAAAAAGAACTAGTTAAAATAATTGTTTTGGTAGCATAAACTGCTCTTTTGTGTAATAAAAAAACTTAAAACTGCTCTATGATGTAGTTGTTTCGTGAAAATATATGTTAAATTAAGTGAAATTAACAAACACATAGTTTACTTTAGTTTATTTGTAATAAGGGTTGCAAAACTATTCTAGTAGCAACAATTGTTTCATTGTGTTAATAAAAACTTGAAACTAACTCTAAGTATAATATTTTCTTTACTCTTGTATTTATTTGACATGTGTGTTTAATCAATCAATTCAAACATAACAAAAATCAAAGTGAAAAATGTCATATACATAAACCCACCCTTTAATCAATCAATTCAAACATAGCAAAAAGCAACGTGGCTTGGTCAAGCAATGTCAATGTGGTTCAAGTGCTAGAAGACTTGCCATGTGGAAACAAGGCACATATCATCTAGCTACAGTCATCATTTATGATTTTTCTTTTGGTCACAGGACTTTTAAATGGCAGACACTTACCGACCTTAAGGACTACACTACATTTTGATCAATAATTTTTTCTTAAGTCACCAAAATTTGTAATTCTTATGTTTTTGTAGAAACAAGTAATGTATGTTAAGTGAAAAATATAAAATGAAACGAAAAGAAAAGAAGACACTAGTCTTTTGCTCTTAAGGCCACACCACCACAATTAATATGCTAATTTTCCCCTAAATATTACAGTTCGTTGCTTCACACATTGCACTAAAACTTGCAAATCCAATCGTCTTTTTTTTTTTTTTTTACTAAATACAAATCCAATCGTTACAAAGCGCAAATTTTTTCAAGGCTCGGAAACTTTGTAGATTACTACAAAGCAAGGAAGTATAGCTTTGGGGTTAAAAACAACCAAGTCGTCGAGGTTTGTGTAGACCCCAGCAGGCCCCGCAACAGAATCATACGAGCCAGAACCATTTTCATCTTCCGGTGAGTCACTCTGCACGCGCCTCACTCTTCCGGCAATCACACGACAAACAAGCATTGCTCTCCTCTGGTCAAAGCACCTAGATGCATCGTGCGCTCTTCCGCTGCTCGCAGTGGTCCTCACTCCCTTTATCTCATTGGCCCCACCGCCTAAACGCAGCGTTTTAGCGTGGAAGCCGTGGCGGATAATGGTGCACACACGGCAGCCAGGAAAGTTGGAGCAAAGAGATGTCGAACCGCGGGAGCCGAGGGAGCAAGAAACGGTGGTGCAGTGGAAACGGAGGAGCTCGTTGCCGTCAGCGGCTGAACGAGGCTCTTTTCTGGTGGAGGCATGTGCATGGGATTTGACTGCGTCGCGACAATCCTCAAACCGTTGGATCGTGCGCTGAGTGTTGTGAACTTTTAATATCCGTTCGATCTTGTAGATGGGACTGTCCTTACGTAACCAGCTAGATTTGAAGATGATGTCCACTATGTTTCGTCCTGAATCCTCTGGCCCCAACTCCGATACTATTGTCAAAGTTTAACAACATTACAAAAAGATCTTTTACATATTTTTGTGGATATATAGATGGATATATATAAATCTACCTCTAGGGGAAGGAATCCAAGATTACAAAACGTTTTCATACTAAAAGTCTAAAAGCATGGTCATATTTTCAGTCTGGTTTGCTTTATTTTAACTTGTTCACCTATTTACCTCTAATATCAAAAGATCAGCTTGGTTTCCAAATTTTAAAAGCTATTTGATAAAAAACACGAAAACATGTCTTTTCACCGAAAATAGTACTATACTAAAACTCAAAAAAAGAACCGGAGAATGGTAAATTAATGATGGTGATGATAATGATATTGTTTGTCGCTTAATACGTAGGACGTAAATTATTCTAATCGTAGTACAATATATGTATCTATATAGTATATACACATGTTGCTGTACACACATATCCAAAACAATGACATGGCATGCCAGCTATATGGCCCCAATTACGAGAAAAACAAAATGAAAGACCCCAACCATATTTTAACCTTTTGAAACTAATGAAAAAGGAAATTGCAAACGATGATAGTTTACATATAAAACAAACATATATGGTAAAAGTTCTGAGAATAAATCAACTTTATATATGTATAAGATCGGCACAGATGTGAGATGTATTTTCTTTTGGGATTGCGACAGTTCCAATCAATGGGCACATATGTTTTTTTATTTTTTAAAGATCTAAAATATACAAAAAGACGAAGTTAAAGGGAAAATATACCGGCATGACGAACTGCTTGATGATGCTCGAGATTTTCAAGCTTAGGGAAAATCTCCCCACATTGTGGACATGCACATATTCTTGGTGATACTGGATACCTATATCATAAGTTATATATAATATAACAAATCATAATTAATTACTCTCTCTCTCTCTCTCTCTATTAATCCTTTTGTAACTATGATATGCAATTACAGTATATTATTCAAGAAACCAGGATTAATAATTATTCACCTGCTTGGATCAACAATCATGTGGCACTCATAGCAACCAGAGAGTTTTCTGAAATGCATGGCTTTGGAAGATGAATATGACGTGTAAGCTCTACAACCGTTGGATCTAACCGTTGAAGAAGATCCACGAGTGACAGGTTTTCTGGTCAACAATCCTGCATCCTGACCAAGATTGCTACTCTCGGGCGAGTGGTCGGAGCGGTGAATCACGCGAGCATTACCGTAAATAATATCACTAAACTTACATAGAGAGGAGCCACAATATGATGACGTAATCTTTGATGGTTCGTGCACTCCTGGCCCTTCTATTTGTTTGCAACTCAAAAGGTTCTTTATCTGGCTCCATGACGACGATGATGATTGAACTGTCTTCTGCTTCAGCTTTTGCGTTTGTGTCTGAGGGAGAGGCGTTTGCTTCTTTCTACTCTTCTTCTTCTTTGGGTCTGAAGAAGATAAACGCGTCTGCGATTGGGTTTGGCTCGGTATGAAAGGAAGAGGAGCCATGAAAGAGAGATTATTGAAAGACAGTGGAAATTATATTACATTGTCGATAATATATAGAATATATAATACAAGTAGAGAGAGAGATAGAGAGAGAATCTTTGTTGTTTTGCTTATGTTTTTGGTTGGAAGGGATCCGAGACGAAAAAGTGTTCAAGTGCGAACAAACTGTTAGATATAACAGATCCATACATACACATAGAATTTGGTTATTTGCACCCACTCTATTTAATATTCATACGCATATAATATTCACAGTTCTAATAGCATCCAACCATACAAAACATAGACACAGATCCAGATTAAGATTTTGTTGTAGTGGCAAATGGCAATTACTCTCGTCAAAATAAAGCAAATTATTTTTATTTTATTGGAGTAGGTGACATCCACTAAAAACATATATAGGATTCTTGATTATATAGAATGCGATTCGTTAGCATTACCAATGTAGTAGTGGAGTTGGTCATCGTTCTCTGTCTTTCTCTTTTCCAGGTTTTAGGACTAATTCTGAGATAAATAAGACTCTAAAACCTATAGAAAATATTATTATTATACTATTAGTTCATAGCATTATATTAGAAAATTATGAAATAACATAAAATATTGCTGGAAAATTGCAAAACTATAATTTTAGGAAGATTAATTTCTTTTAAAAAATACAACTAAAATAATGTCATTTTAAATATACAACTTTAAACAAAAATAACGATGTTATACCCTAATTTTATAAATCCTTATTAATAAGCAAAAAGAAAAACTGCATTACACATTACTTAATAACTTATCTATTTTATAGAAAATTTTGAACTTGAACGGTTTTTAGGGTATAAATATAATAGCTCAATATTCAACTTGAACTATTTTTTAGGAATGTGTATCCGTACCTGAATTTGATTCTCTAGGGCAAAGAGAAAAAATATCAAACGTATTTATCAACTATATTTTTCGGCCCAATAATACAATGGAAGATAATGATTAATACCTACAACTCGTTAGTAATGTTTGCATGCTAAGTGGTAAAGATACTCGGAGAAGGTGCGATAGAAGCTAGAGTTCAAGTAGGAGAAGCCAAGAGATCGGCACATAGACATCGAGAATTCGAGATTATAAAGTCGCACAGTGTGACCCCTCGTGATAATGCCGCAAAACATGGCCTCTTCTCACATGTCTTACCTTTATTCCCTTGTCATCTACTCTCTCCCGTAGATCCCTTTTCGTATATATACAATGTTTATTTTCGTATTATATACATTTTTTTTATTTTTGGTAAAATAAAAAAGTGGTTTCATCCTAAATATTGTAAATAGTTCTTTCCACCCCGTATTGATCTCAAATGGCAGAAGTTAATAATTATTATGTAAATATATTATATATTGTACAGAAATACATACACATGAACACCCATTTATGTACATGCACTTACAACATGTGTCCACTCCGTTCCATTTTCACGTAGGGAAGAATAAGATAAATGTACAAAAAAAAATTTTCTAAGTGCCAACGAAGACTATCTTTGGTAAGAATTAATTAATAAATAATTCTGCCATGTACTTTTGATCACTCAAAACGTTGCGGTCAAATTCTCCTTAGTTCTATAAGAAAACACACTTATTACTAACCAAATATAACTGAAGGTTTTTTCTTGTTCATAGAAATAGATGCTCCATTTATTTAGGTTTTCATATAAAGTATCAGATGATATTAGACATGATAATTAGGAGCATGGTTTTTCCTGACATCTAAATAATCAATTGGAGGTTTTAGATGGCTCTATTCATAATCAGATTGCTCTCCCCTCTGCTGCTGTGTTCAGAGCTATTGACAGGGAGGTAAGAAACACCTTGACTTCCATGTCACACCTGAAACTCTTCAGAGGCTTGATGGCTAGCTTGCTTAAATGCCTCTTCAGAGCATATATTTCCCAGTGTTGATTGGATTCCTTGTTCTTCTTCTTTGTTTTTTCTTCTTCTTGTTTTGCCAGAGGCCCATAGAAAATAAATGGCTCTATTCTTGTATAAGACTGGTTTCCATTCTGTTTTTTTTTTTTATTACGAAATTTTGATCTTCATCTTTGTCTATAAACCAAACTAAATGGAAATGCTAGAAAATTGACGACTTGATATTTATACTGATATGAAGAAAAATAAATATATTTCAAAAGAGAAGAATTAATAGAAAGTTAAGTAGATCTACTAAGTAATAGCAACTTATGAAATTATTCTTTCTCAATCCCATTGACTTTTAGAAAATCATTTCTGTTTTAATGTCTTGGTATCCATTTCCCAACAATATAAATCATAACAAATCTAGGAAAACAATAAGTTATAAAAACTTTCATTTCTGTCCACCATGTCTTAGAGATTCTATTGCAAACAATCTTACTTTGTTAAAGTAAGTTGCCACATGCAAGTTTGACGAAAATGTTACGGTGGATTTAATATTTTTTCGCAAGATATAGTAAGGTTTCAGATCTAAGGGAACTTGATTTGTGATATCCCTTTACCCGCTGTCTTGTGATATCCATTAATGAGTTCTGAAGCAAGTGATACATTTTCCAGCAGCAACCGCTCCGTAATGAAAGCACACTCATTAACCTCTACAGCATTAGGGAATATAACCGTGAGTCTGTTAGCAAGAATTTTAGAGATCACCTTATATAAAAAGTTCAGCAAGCTATAGGCCTGTAATCTTTCATTGATTGGGCGTTCATTGTCTTAGGGATCAATGAAAGGATGGTTGCATTCACTCCAGTGAAAATGAATCTGAATAGAAAGGAAAACTGTACCACTACAATGAAATCTCTGCCAATAATAGGCTAAGCTACTACAAAAAAAATTCCTAATTTGAGTCGTCGGGTCCTGAGACCTTGTCGTTTGGAAGAGAGTGAAGAGCTTACTGAATTTCACGAGCCGTTACCAGAGCGATAAGCATTGCAGATTCTGCCGAGAACAACGGTAGGTAAGAATATCCTTCAACTCATCAACATATATATATATTTTCTGTAGAGGAATCTTGACTTTTCAGAAAGATCTGAAAGTAAGAAACCACTTCTCTCTTTATGTCAGTCTGGGAAGTAAGCACTTCTCCTCGATCATTAACCAAACTTTTTATAGTGTTCCTTGCAATCCGATTTTGAACAATACAATGAAAGAACTTGTTGTTCTGATCTCCTACTTGCAACCAACGAACACAAGATTTCTGCTTACAAAAAATTTCCTCAATGCGAGCGAGTATGTTCCATTTCTCCTCCGCCTCAGCAGCCAATGCAACATTTTCCGTAGTTGGGTTCTGCAACACTATGTTTTAACAATCACACAGCTCTTCGTATGCCTGCTTGGTTCGAGCCAGTAGGTATCCATAGTGCGTGCGATTCAATGCCCTGAGCGGCTGCTTAAGCAGCTTAACTTCCCATGAAATCTAGATAAAGCTGACCGAGAGTAATGTAGAGTCTCTGTGGTATCCCAAACCTCTTTAATGATCAGTAAGAAATCCTGATGTTCAGCCAAGAAATTGAAAAACCAGAAAGGTTTCCTAGCTTCATTAACAGTGTTAGAAGTAGGAATAAGACAACAAGCATGGCCGGAGATTCCTCCAGCATCAAAATGTGCAGAAGACTGGGGTAACAAAGCATCCATTCTCTGTTAACCAAAGCTATGTCTAGCTTCTTTCCGATTGGGTCCTTTTCTCTCTTGTTCCGCCGGGTAAAATGTTGAAGGTAATTTCGTCACTGAACAGTCTGTCATGGCTTCCTGAAAATGTATCATACCCAATTCATCACGACGATAGTCGAAGGCTCGAGAGTGTTCACTTGAAGCCAGAGTCTCATTGAAATCTCCTAACAAAATCCAAGGCAAACTTAGAGTGCTCGTAGGCAGCCCGAGTTCCTCTTAGTTCTTCCCATAACTGCACTCACTCCGCAGCTGTGTTAAAAGCATATACTGCTGAGCAAACAAATTGTTCCCCAGTACGAGGTATCTGTATAGCACAAGTGATGACCTGAGCACTCTTATGTAGTTGCGTAGTCACCACATCATTTTTCCAGCAAACCCAAATCCTTCCCAAATTATGATACTCGTAGTTTTTGAGAATTTTCCAAGTTGGCATAGCTGCGCTCATACACCATCTCATGAACACACGTTTCAGGTAAACATCCAAACGAAGGCTTTGAAACTTGTAACCACACTTCTTAAGTGGTTTATGCTTACGTGTCATGTTATAGGTCTTACAGACTTGGTTTATAATAGTAGTCAACCCTATTATGGATAAATTAAAATTTGATATGGCAAACCAACTTAAACCAGTATGCTTGATTAAGAATCACATGATGTCAATTAAATTAAGTTGATTTTTGAATGCTGTTAAGTGACGCATAAGACCAGTGGCAGGTTTTGTAATATTAAACATGACGTAAGGATTTCCCAAATCAGTTTTGATAGAAAATAGGTAAAACATGATTAGTGATTTTATGATTGTAGACAGAAATTAAAGTAAAATACATTTGTTATCACCCAACTAATCACTTTTTTTCAGGAAATACTCTCTTGGTGTTTTTTTTTTCATCCTCGTCTGACTGATTAACATCAGTGAATTTTGATCGTATATTGAGCTATTTGACGAAGTACACCTATATATTTTTGGCATGAAAAACACCAATATATTTTTGGCATGAAAAAAATTCACTCGTAGCCGTAGTGAATCCCACATACATATCTTTTCAAAATTTCTCATAGTTTTGGAATCCGTTGCAAAATCAGAGGCTCGCTGAGTTTGCTTCGCGTCTAACTTGGATACACAAAAACTTTGATGATTTTGCTTCTACCATTGTATTGTACATCAGCTTGGGTTGTCTTGCCACTATCAAGGAGGATGTTTCTATTTTTCTTCACCATAACCCACGGCTTCTTGAACCTCCGAATATATGTTGTTCCATATGAGCTGTACTTGATTCCCGATAATATCAAATGCCAAACCAAACACACGACAGTGTTTGTGTTTGTAAAACTTAATTAAGTTTCAGTGTCTATCAGCTTAACTGTTACATATTTTTGAGATTTTAAAAAACTTAA